TACCGTATGTAATAATGCTATTTGAAGTTTCCTTTCTTCACCGCTCCCCCCTTTACCCCATCTTTTTTCCATTTCTCTCTTTTTTCTTTTTCTTATATTATGTGCAAATAAAAGCTTACATTTCTCGTTCAGTTTCCACCATTCTGCACCCTTCGCTCAACCGTTAGTCGTCGTTAGACCTGAAACTATGTCCTGAAGCCCGCTTACCAACTTAAGATATTGCTACCAAAAAAAAAGTACCTATTTTGCGTGTATATATCTGTGTATGCGTGTGGATGTGTGTAGTTTATGTGTGCTTATGTTTTAATTCAAACTATTAGTCTTCACTAACCAGATTTGTTGAGGGGACAAAAAAAAAAAATTTATTTTTTTTTCTTTGATCTTGACAGAAACGTTGTTAGGAGGTTGTCTTAAGTTCATAAAACCACTCAGCGATTACTGTCTTTTTTGCCCACTGTCCGTACCATACTTTTAACTTATATTATTATTTTGACTAACTTCTAATCAAACACTGTTTTTTGTCCGCATCTGGGGTATTTTTCTATGTGTGTGCGTGTGTGTGTGTGTTTGTGTGTGTTTATCTTTGAGTGGATGTTTGTATTTCTAAAAGTAGCTCAAAAGAAAAAAAAAAGAAAACGAAGGAAAAGAAGAAGAGCAGGAAAAAAAAATGAAATCATTATAAGCAAAATGTTGAATATGCTGGAAAATTAGCTGGACGATAGGAAATAAATTGAATAAAAACTGTTGTGATGGAAGGAATTCTTAAAACCTTCACAGCTTTTTATCGGTGAGCGCAGCGCGCCATTTTCAGACAAAGGAACACAGCTCTTTGACGTAAAGGCATGTGAACGGCCATGATGCTTTTTCACTCGGACCCCCTTGTTTCAGTGCTGCTTGCTTGCTGCTCCTTTAGACACCACCTAGGGGTTTTTCTTTTCTTTAGCTTCTCAAAGCTAAATACATTTCACAAAATACTCTTCACATTTGATTTGTTGTCACTGTGCAAGAAAAAAAGTCAAGGGAAGATGATGGGAGTTGAAAAAAAAAAAAAAAAGGCTCATCAACAGAGTCCGACATCAATCAACGAAGGCAACTTTCATGTATAGTATCGTTTAGCATCCAACCAGTAAAGACACAGCGTTATGATTGCTGTAAACTATGACCGTTGTTTAAATTAGCAAATTAATTGACTCTAACAGGTTATGGTACGAACAAGTGAATAAGTATGAAACACAAATATATTTCTTTATTAAATATATTACAGCGAATGAACATACTGATAGCTACTGTAAATGCTAGTCAGATAGGCAAATCGATAGAAAGATACATAGATTGACGAATAGATCAACCTGACATTGCTTGAAATATGAGGTCCATTTCTCTTTCCTTTAGCAGTGATCCAAAAGAAAAAAAATTAATGTATCATAAATTGGTTAATGTTGTTAACCATTGCTTTAAAGACCAGCAGACTGCTTGGTTTTCTTCTTTTTTCATTGTTTTCTTTTTACAAAAGTAGGATATATCTTATCTCATCAAATTTTAATTTTAATTTTATTTTGTTTTTCTTTGTTATTATCGCTATATTTTTGTAGCTGCTGTTCGCAATTCTTAAGCGACAATAAACAGAGGATGT